TCCTCGTCGTCGAGACCGCGTCCGGGACCTCGCGCGTCCAAGCTGTCGACTTGGATGCGGCGAGCAAGACGTCCGTTCTCAAATACTTTAGCATGGTATCGATTGCATGGTTCTAGTCGATGGCTGCTCATGGGATGTACTAGGATCTCCGGCAAGAGGAGGTGTTCCACCTGCACCAACTGCTCGACAGCCTCCACGCACTTCGGGAGGTGTCTGTCCCAAAAGAGAAGACAGAGCGGATTCTCGCCCAGATCCCGCAGCTCACGACAGCCGCCGGGATTGACGCTGTCGCCGACGCGCTGCATACATCGACGATGGCGCACCTTGGCGGTGACTTCCACAGCGATGCTCTAGCCGCCCTCGTGTCGGTACGCGTCACTCGACGTTGTGGTATTTATGCAGTCTGTAGGTTGCGCACTCTGTGGTCCTCGGCGCGAATCCGTCCTTGGAGCAGCTGCGCGCGGTCTTCCTCCTCGAATGGAAGCAGCACATCCTCCGCGCGTACGTGCAGCTGCGCGACGAGGCGACCGCTAGACGATCGGCGCCGTCCTTGTTTGATGACGACCCGGTGCGGGCGACGCTCGAGCAGTGGCAGACGTGCCTCACACGCGCACGGACGTCGGCGGCGTCCCCGCTGCCGTCATCCGAACCACAAGAGCTTTCGTGCCTTGCGTTTCTCGACACCTTTGCACCGCCGCTGTGCAGCACGAGCGAGTCCCCCGAGACCGAGCGCCGTCTGTACCTGTTGCTGCAGCGTAAATTCCGGGGCGATCTGAGCTTTGCCGACTGCCTGGACCAGGTCCACGCGCTCCTGGCGCGTCCTCTGCTTCGGATTGTCAATTTGAAGGCGACGCGCGGCGCGTGGCTAACCTTTTGCTTTGGCCCGCTGGAGACGACGGTCTTTGCTGTGACGGTAGGCTCTGCGCGTTGCGATCGCGTTGACATGCTGGTGTCGATACTAGAACGTCATGGCCATTCACGCGGGCCTGCGCCTCAACACAAGCGACGTGTCGCTGTACACGGAGATGTTTCTGGACTGGTTCTTTGGTCTCCCGGTGGAAAGGGTCCTCGCGATGACGAGCACGACCGCGTCGTCGCCGCTCCAGCGCTGGCTCGAGCCTTGGATCCACGCCAGCTCGTACCCGCACGTGCTTGAAGACAGCGAGGCCTTTACGCTTCCCGGTGCGCGCGCGGCTCCTACGTTTCAATGACTGAGACTCTTGGATGGATAGAGCTGTCACCGCCGCTGCGCAGTGTGTTTGACGCGTGTCGCAAAAGCGACAAGCTCTTGCATGTCTACGTCCTCACCCACCACTTGGACGTGGGAACGCGCGCGCACGCCCATGCATTACAAGAGTCGACGCTCGGGCAGATTAGCGTCCTCGGCGCGGGCCTGCGCTGGCGGGTCTTGCAGCACTGCCTCCACAAGGTCCTGTACCTCACGTGCCTCCTGCGCCTTCCCGGAAAACTCTCCATCGTACGCAACCTCGCTCGCTGTGCACGACCAACGGATTGTCGTAGGACGCTGTCGAGGGTGTGGACGAGCTGCTGCGGGCGATTGCGATCTGCCAGCTCCAGCAAGCCCCCGACGTACGACCATGATTCGTCCGGCGTTTGTAACTGGTGCGTCTAGGCGGACGACGCGCCAATCGTGTGCTACGATAGCGGTGAGGCGTGGATGGCAGCATGGCAGGCGCAGCTCGAGTCATCCTCGTCACGGCGCCTCGTCGCCTCGGTGCTCCAGAGCTTTCGCCAGCTGCAGCACGCCGACTCTCTCGCTTGCTGCCGGGCCACTGTGCTCTTCTCGGCGTGGAACGCGGACCGGTCGCAAATGTCCTATTTGGAGCTCGCGCTCGACGAGGTCGAGGCGGTGACCACGCCATCGACCAAGGTCGCGCTGGTGGCGCACGTCTGGGAAACGTATGTCCGGACGCACGTGGCGTCGATCTTGGCCTATTGGGTCGACGTTGCGTCGGGCCGCAGTGTCTCCAAGGGCCTGCAGCCATCCATTGCGCGCCAGTTTCTCCACCTCGTCCGACAGCTCTTGGATCTCGTTGGGGGCGCCGCGACGCCGTCACGTAGTTGCATGTTGCGGGTCACCGAATCGTTTTTCATCGCCCTGTAGGGGAATTTCTCGACGACGACGACGAGGCGCTTTTGACGTCGCAGCTCGTCGAGCAGATTGCGTGGACGGGCTCAGACACGGACGTGTTGAGCCTCTTTGGCGCAGCGTGGCCGCCTCGGTACACGCATGCGACGCTCGCGACAAGCTTGTCGCGCATCGACGGCGTGCCCACGACCAGCGTACAGCTGCACTGCCAGCTGCTCTCGGTCCTCGACGCCTTCTCGGCAGTGCCCGACGCTGCGGTGCCGCTGCAAACGCTCTTTGGTGCGCCGCAGTTGCTCTGTGCTCCCGACGGCCTGACGACGCCACCGCCGATCGATGCGGCTGGCGCCTCAGCCTTGACGGCCGCGCGGTACCAGGTACCCCACACCCCATCTATTCGATTCGTGCACTAATTTGGCTTGTAGTTTGTGTTGCGACTGCTGCAGTCGGATGTCGCGGTCGGCTTTAACGTGGCGTCGACGTTTTACCTGCCGTTGGACGCGATCAAGCAAGACCACGCAGTGTTTCTGTACGAGAGTGGCCTTGACAGCCACGCCGAAGAGCTCCTTGGGAAGCTCACGCTGTCGCCCGGCATCTGCAGGCGCCTCGGGTGCATTGCGCGAACGCGCGTGGCGCTTGTCTTGTCGCGCATGCGCAGTCGCCCCGAGTATGCAGCGTTGATGACCCGCATGCCGGCCGATGTGTGCACGTGGGTGTGCTCGCCGTCCCCGCCGTTCCCGCCCGGTGCGTCGACGGAATCGATGTCGCACGTGGTGTGACAGAACTCTACTTGCGTAGACAACGCGGTCATCGAGCGCGACGCAACGCCGTCTATTAGCGCCACGTACTTTTTACTCACGCAGTGTCTGCAGTGGTTTCCAGCGCCGTCGATGGAGCACACCAAGACGACAGGCATGCTCGGTCTCGTCAAGAGCCTCCTTGACCAGCTCAAGCAGGAACGGCAGACGACGACGGCCGCTGCAAGGGTGCGAGGCAACCAGTGATAAAATGTCATTCTTGGCTTCGTGCTTTCATGTAGTCTACAGAGTTGAGCGGAAGGAGCCGCTTGGCGAAGGACGATCGTGCAGCATTCAAATCCAAAATGGAAGCGTATGATTGGTCATAAAACAAATATTTACACCAATCCCGTGCAGAGTTGGCGCTATGACCGCCTGGCGAGGCAGCGTCGAGGCCAAGTTGCGTCCGAAAAATGAAAACGCTGCAAGCTTCCACACGTGTAGAATGGACTTTGGCTAGCATGAAATGCTATCCCGCGTCGTCGTGTGAGGCGTACAGCAAGAGATATAGACCCTCTTGTATTTAGGTTTGGTTTAAGCCATAAATAGCCACATTTACCATTGTTAACACGTCCAGGCACCCAATTGCAGACACCAGGCGATTCTGTCGCCAAACACGGTCCGAAAACAAAATCGCTCAAACTTAGCACGATGATAGAAGACACTTTGGAGGGCACGAAACGCTACGCCGCGTCATCGTTCGAGGATCACAGCAAAACGTACGGGCTCTCCCATATTCACTTTGGCGTTCGCCATATATAGTCATATATAGCTATAGATCGACTGCGACGAGGCGCCAGTATCGCCAACACATCCCGAAAACGAAATCACTCACACTTGGCACGATAATAGAAGACACTGTAAAGAGCACAAAACGCTCCACCGAGTTGTCGTGCGAGGTGTACTGTACAACCAGACTTTTATCGACCCACTTCTAGTTATGGCGTAAAACATATATAGCCACAAGTAGCCGCGTTTTGTGGCCTTCACCAAGCAACTCTACTGAGCGTTCAGTTTCGTCCCCTCGGCTATAGACGCAAGTGCATGGGGAGACGAACGGGGTTCGTGTTGGGAGGCCGCCGCCGCCCAAGAAGGGACTGATGGGTGGCTTAAAAGAGCGTAGAGTAGTAAGAGGTTTGGAGTTGGACGAGCAAATCGCAAATGAGCTTGGAGGCATGATCTTCGATCTCGGCGGTTGCGCCTTGCTATTAAAAGGGTGGTCGATCTGCCGCCATCTTGGCGGTTGGGCATGGCGGCTTAAGATGGCGCCCTTGCTTGGCCTTGGTACAAAAACTCAGCTTCACGCGTGCCGCGAGAAACTATCTCGAAAAGCAACGACGGCCTTTTGCATTGTCCCACGCACGGTCTCTGATGCTACATGTAGCCCATGAGGCCCGAGTTCCGCAAGCATGCCTCCACACTGTATCAGCAAAACTGTCACAGCGACCGAGTATATGTGTGCCCGGTGTGTCAAGTCGGCGTAAATGGCCAACCGTATTGATTTTAAGCTCTCGCTCGTTTGCTAGTAAGCTCCGTAGTATGTTGATAGGTAGATACCGTCGATATTGCCCACATGAGCCGACATAAATGTACCAAACGTTGCGTGCATTTAGCTTAGTGGATCGAAAACTTTTCAAAAAACTTGTGCGGGCCGTGGGTCCACTCAAAGTCGACGTCGAGGAAGCGCGGGTTGAGCGCATTGCGACGCACGGCCCAGGTGCCCGCGATCGCGTCGCCGGCCTTGACGTGGAAGGGCTTGCTCAGGTGGAAGAACGTCTGCTGCCAGTGCGTCGGCGTCGCCTCGCACCCGGTCGAGAACCAGAGCGGCTGCGGCAGCTTGGTCTCGAACCCGAATGTCAAACGAGCTCACAAAGCCGTGGAGAAGTCCGTCCTTCGCGACGCGCAGCGCAAACGGCTTCTTAAAGTCGAGCGCGGTGAGCGTGACGCTGGGAATGTCGATCGACTCGACGAGG